GAGAGCTGTAGCAGCAGAGCCCCACGAGCGATAGCACCACCTGGAAGGCTAACTGACCCACCAACTCACAAATGAACAAGCCAGCAAAGGAATTAGCAAAGCAGCTAACAGAAGAGTTAGCAAAGGAGCAAAAAAAGAGATAAGGAATCCGCAAAGGACTAATGGCCCTGAGCCCACTCCCGACTTACGTACCAAGCATGATGTGCTATGGAATGAAACACTCCTTTGGTCAGTTTGGGTCAGCTGTCTGAACTGTGTGTTCTCCCAGACAGCTTGTAGCGAGAAAGTTGGGAAGGCAGCTGCAGTATCAGAAGCTGAGACCTTGAATTGGTGCAAGCACTCCCCAGCACCAGCTAAAAAGACACCTTATCAGTACTTTTCTCAGGATAAATCCAGAAAACTAACTTCATACCAGCCCTTGTGAAGAGACTTAACTCTTTTCACCAGTACAGTTATATTTGACAAAGTCAGAATCCACCTCTTAAGGTTATTTCTATTCTCTCTCTGTATGTTGTCCATATCACTGCAGACAAATGTACCGTGTTTACAGCAGTTTCAGAAGGTGCAAACAAAGTAGTACCTCTGACTAGTTTTCCCACATTCTATCACTAAACTCCAGCCTTTGCAGTATTTGGATAATCAAGACCCTCAGTCTTCCTTGCCTTGTCCTTGTCTAAAAGGAAGATTGTAATTAATATTACAGCTTTATCTATTTGGTTTGGCCTCCTACTATTTTACTGTTTTTTACTAGTTTTTTGGCTGTCTAGACAGGTGATGATCTGTGGCTAGTCTACTTTCCTCATTTTATTCCTTTGCAGCTTTTAAATTCATAATAAATCAGAACAAAACAGATATTTCTCCAGTTAACTGAACTATGACAATTCTTTGTTATATTGATTTGCTCATACCCTCTATGCCATTCTCTTTTTATTTGATTTTTTGATTCTGTCTGGTGTAAAAATGTCTGTATAATGCCTTGCACAGTAAAGTTTAATTTTGATGAAGTCTCTTAAGTCTATAGTAATAACATCCTGAGCTAGCATGTCTGTTTAGATTTTGTGTCAATTGCTGTTCATTTTCCTCCTTTATGTATATGACAGCAAATGATAATTAAAATGTTTTGTTTTCCAGGTCACTTTATTTCTTGTCTCTGTATCTCTGTTGGGAGGTGCATGTTTAGGTGACTAACTACAGGAACACAAAAATGCCTAATATTGCACATCCGGCATACCCAGCAGCTACACTGCTTCAATTAGAAAGTTTGGTGCCTTGTCGAGAATCCCAAGTGTCCATGTTGCTGTCAATATTTGGAGAGGTAATGCTTTTTCTGTTGTACATTTGAGTAAAACAAAATGTTCTGCTGTCTCAGAGGGGAAAACAGAAATTTGAAGGCATTTTTCTGATGTCATCATAAACATACTTTGGTTGTCTCTTTCTGCCCCCATCTTTAACATAAGTGTTTGGCAGATAGATTTTAGTAATTTTGAAGGTTAAAAGCTGTTTTGCAGCTGGAGGACCCAAACTTACAGCTATTTGTACCTTGGTGTCTCTGAAGCCTGGTTTCTCCATGATTCTGTTCCATCTTTTCCACTTACTACCAGGAGGCAAGTCTGTCTTTTTCCCTGGTCTAAAGTCTGGGTGGTTTTGGTTGGGTTTTTTCTTTTTCAGTGGCAGTGTAGAAATTCTGTTTTGGTTTTGAGCTGTTAATCTAATATCTGCGTGCCTGAATTCTCAATACGTGAAATTTGTCTGTTTGTTAGTGGTTCCATTGCTGGCCATAAGATTCAAAAAATCACTGCCTTGTTAATTGATTCTGTTACTGCTTGGCAAAACTGGTAAAAAGTAATGGAGGTTTTTATCTGCAAACTTAAGAGCACTTGATACATCCATTTACATTCAGTTAACAAAATGGAAATTTGTATCTGTTTCTGGTTCTGCCTTTAATTATAGATAATAATAATAATTACATCAAATTGCAGCATTTAAGTTTTCTGTATTTATTACAAGCTTAGTGGCAACAAGTTGTTTTAAAAAAATAGATACTTAAATTCTTATCAAATGTGGAGGTTAGAGGATCTGCATATCTTGCACAAGAGTGCCTCCATCTTGTATAAAAAGTGTTTGTAAAGTTTATTTTTGTATTAATTTCATAAGTTGGTGTACAGCATTGTTAGGAATGAGTAAAACACAAAAAAGTATCTGCTCAGAATGAAAAGAACCAGTTAGTTATTTTTGTTGCATTTAAAATTAATAATCTATGAAATATACAGCACAGCATCGGTACCATTAAATAAATAGAGTTAATATATAAAATACTGTCTTGTGAGAGAAGAGCAAGCTCCCTTTACCACCTCCACCAAGCCATTTAATTCTTTTCTGTTTGGTGCTAATGGAAAGAAAAGCAGTTTGTAGTGTTTGCAGAGTTAGGACAATGTAAACCTTTTAGTTTGTGTTTGCCTAGATGTTGTTTCAGTCAGTTAACTAATTTGAATTAAGAGCTCACTGCTTTTCTCTCTCCGTGTCGTTTGTTGTGGGTTTTGTTTGGGTTGGTTTGTTTGGGTTTTTGTTTGGGTTTTGTTTGTTTTGTTTTCCCATTAAAAATGTATCCTCATGTTATAACAGTTTCACTGTTTTATGTGATGCTTGACTATTGGGATTTTTTCTCCTAGCATTCAGTGATGATGAAATATAAAACTTGATGACCTTGATTCTGTAATAATTGGAATCTTTTATATTTAATACCTGAATTTAGAAGATAACTTTTCTTTTGGAGGGAAGCATCACTGGTAATTCTTTTATCTGTTGAAGGAAAAAGAAGAATTGAAACTGCAACAACTTTTTTTCTTTCCCCCCTCCCCCCACAGCGTCAGCAGTTTAGTTTTCCATCCATCTTTATCTATGGACATACATCTAGTGGAAAGACCTATGTGATGCGAACTCTTCTAAATACCTTACAGGTAAGAATGTTCACAATGGCTATTGAGTTTAGAATTTCTTTGTAACACGTAGCTCCTCAAACTAGCTTCTCAGAATGGTTGGTTTTCTCCGCCATTTCTGCCTTCTTGTTTCTCTACATTTACTGTTGATGAGCACATCTCTCTTCTCACTAGTGCACATAGGATAAAATGAAGTCATACATACTGAGATATAATATAAATAACTTGGAAAAGAACAGTGAGAAGAGTTTGCAGCAGTGGAATTTTGTGTTATGTATTTTATGTTAACAAACTCAGTTCTATTCAGTTGGATGTGTATGATCTATTTAAATGTCAGCCTAAGAGCTTAAACTTAATAAAGTTGTTAAAAGTGTTCAAAGTAAACATACAACCTATACATGTTTGCTGGGAAAAAAAAAGGAGAAAAGTGAGTCCAAAATGGTGAAAATCACTGGCTGAATACCAAACAACTGCCATTCTTTCTGATACCAGTAGTTGTTTTTACAGACTTGGCGAGAATGTTGTATTCATTGCAGCATATTTGGTTATTTCCAATCAGGCCTCTTGTAGAAGCAGGAAAACTTTCTTTCACTTTGCAAAAGAAACAGTGCAGGACTTGTGAAATACTGGAGCAATTGATTTAATTTCAGACCAATAAATGTTTATTCTTTTGCTTAATGAATCGGCTCTAAAAGGAAAAAGTGTATTATTTTTAGTATTACATTTTCAGAATCTGTTTGAAATTACAAATTATGTGCACTTTAATTTATTCTAGATTCTCCAAACACAGCTTGATATCTGTCATAAGTTAAAACCCCCAAGAAACAGGATGCCATTCACAGTTTCTAATGCAATAAAATGATTTCTCCAGGTGTGTTTGTGTTTGCTAAGCTTGTCATTGCCAGGTCTTTTGCTGGTGGGATGGGTCTTATTCTGCCATGCCTGTGGTATTTCCTCCTGTAGGAGCCTTTCATTTTCAGAAATCCTTTCATTTTCAGAAATGTTAGGACCGTGTGCTCATTCTTTCTTTACCATCTAAGATAGATTTGTAGGAATAAGTGTAGGAGTAAGAAAGAAGTAGGTCAAGGATAACTGATAAGAGATGTTGTTTGAAGCGTAGAATGGTTGGAGTTGGAAGGGACCTTAAAGATCATCTAGTTCCACCCCCCCTGCCATGGGCAGGGACCCCCTCCACTAGACCAGGTTGCTCAAGGCCTTACCCAGCCTGGCCTTGAACACTTCCAGGGATGGGGCATCCACAGGTTCTCTGGGCAACCTGTTCCAGTGCCTCACCACCCTCTCCGGGAAGAACTTCTTCCTGATATCTAACCTAAACCTCCCCACTTTCAATTTAAACCCGTTACCCCTTGTCCTGTCCCTACAGGCCCTTGTAAAAGTCCCCTCCCAGCTTCCTTGTAGGCCCCTTCAGGTACTGGAAGGCTGCAATAAGGTCTCCTCGGAGCCTTCTCTTCTCCTGGCTAAACAAGCCCAACCCTCTCAGTGTTTCTTCATAGCAGAGGTGCTCCAGCCCTCTGACCATCTTCATGGCCTCCTCTGGACTTGCTCCAGCTGGTTGATATCCTTCTTATGTTGTGTGCCCCAGAGCTGGATGTAGTGCTTCAGGTGGTGTATCATGAGAGCAGAGTAGAGGGGGAGAATCCCCTCCCTCGACCTGCTGGCCACGCTTCTCTGGATATAGCCCAGGATGCAGTTGGCTTTCTGGGCTGTCAGCACATACACGGCTCACGTCCAGCTTTTTGCCCACCAGTACCCCCAAGTCCTTCTCCTCAGGGCTGCTTTCTATCCATTCTCCACCCAGCCTGTACTTGTGCTTGGGATTGCCCCAACCCAGGTGCAGGTCCTTGCACTTGGCCTGTGGAACTTCATGAGACTGTCACAGGCCCACCACTCCAGCCTGTCAAGGTCCCTCTGGATGGCATCCATTCCCTCCAGCGTGTTAAATGCACACCACAGCTTGGTGTCATTTGCAGACTTGCTGAGGGTGCACTCAATCCCACTGTCTGTGTTGCCGACAAAAATACTGAACAACACCAGTCACAACACTAACCCCTGAGGAATGTCGCTTGTTGCGGGTTCTCCACTCAGACATTGAGCTGTTGACCACAACTCTATGAGTGCAACCATCAAGACAATTCCTTATCCACCAAACACTCTATCCTTCAAATCCATGTCTCTCCAGTTTGGAGACAAGGATGTTTTGTGGGACAGTGTCAAATGTGTGAAGTAGAAACTACTGAGAATTCATTGTACAGTTTTGAGTTTGGAGCCTTACATTCCTAGGAAGCTGCGACTACGCAGTTGCTTCCACTCAGCTGTTAAGGAAAAAAACTACTTCAGTGCTGTCCTCTGGGAGATGAGATATATCCTTGCTGATTAATACTGGAGTTGCTATATGTTAATAATCTGAAGTAGGAACTTTGTCAGGAATGGACTTACTTCAATTTCAAGGACTGCTGGCAGAGAAGCCTACTCATTAATCATGTGAGGATCTGAACTACACAGTAGTAGTGGGTCATTGTGGCTGACTGCGTGTTTCTTACAAGAAAGAGTTGTCTTGAAGAATCTCTTGTGTGTAGGGAGATATGGCCTTAAATCCATTGCTCTCCCTCTGCTCAGTGCAGGCAGAAGACTTTTAACTATGATGTCCTTGCCACTTTTGTGGCCCTTCTTTTTCTAGTTGTAAATTTGTATATATTTATGCTAGTTTTATTCCTTCTTCTATTTTTTCCTAAAACAGGTTTAAAAGTCTTCTAGAGTTGAAGGGTGTCAGTGAAATTTCTGTCTAGACTTGTTAGTGTCCATGTTTTTGTCAGTCATGTTCTTTGGAGATTTAAATCTAATGGTGGGTGCCTACTTCACATTTAAACCAGGAATTTCCACTTGTGTGTTCTCAGAGCTCTGATACTTCAGGTGTGTCCAGAGTTCACTTATGCCTTATCTGCGGGACTGGGTTTTGTGCAAAACACAGTGATCTTGTCCCTTTCATTAAAAATCCTACAGAGGCAGAAAGGTGGAAGGCAGTTGTCATGAGCCTCTTTCATGCAGTGGCCTTTTGTGCAGTGCTCCTAACGCTATGCCTACCCACTTGCAACAGATCCAAAGATGTGGCCAGACCCTGGAAAGGAGTAGTATTTAAGCAGCAACTCTTTCTGCAGAAGTTTCCGTTGCCAAGTATAGGTGTCTGCTACGTAATGTCCTGTTGTGAATCACGTAGTGGCACCCAGCTTTCCTTCGGCTGTGGAGGTGCAGCACTTTGAATAGGTGCTTTTGAAGACGTAGCCCCTTTCTTTTAATAGTGTTCAAAATCATCAGAAAGCTTTTTATTGCTCATGCTGTTTGAGTGGACTGCCAGCGCATACCCACACTTTCCCACATCTGCTGAATCATATGTCGTATATTGTATTTTAAGTAGAAAGACTGAAGTACTTAGATTTTTTTTTCTGTTATATACACACACACATTCCTGTATCAGAAGTTTAATTTTGTAAGTAATGCATATGTATCTCAATGACTAATGTTTTCCAGAGGTTTTAATGTTCAGTGGAAAAAAGAGCATATACCTTACTAGAGAATATGGAGCTATGCAAATAATCTGTTTCTTAAAAATAGAGTTGCTGGAAAACTGCCTTTTCTCCATTATGTACGTTGCATACTGATACTGTTTTGTATGTCTTCTCTTTATAGACAAATTACCTTTTTGGTTGTGTTGGGTTTGTGTGTTGGGGTTTTAGTACTGGGGGAGGGGATACCAGCATGGCTCCTGTGAGAAGCTGCTAGAAGCTCCCCAGGCTCCAAGTTGGACCTACCTCTGGCCACTGTGGAGTCAGTCAGAGATGGTGGTAGTGCCATAACATATTTCAGAGGGGAAAACAAAGAATACTTGCAGCAGAGAGAGGAGTGGGATGTGAGAGACATGCTGAGGTCAGGGCAGAAGGGAGGGGAGGAGGCGGGCCAGAGTAGAGAGTCCCCTGCAGCCCGTGGTGGGAGGGCAGGCTGTGCCCTGCAGCCATGGGAGGGTCATGGGGAATCAGAGCCCCACCTGCAGCCCTGGGAGGGCCCCATGCTGGAGCAGGGGGATACACCCAAAACCTGTGACTCTGTGGTAAGCCTGCAGTGCAGAAGACTGCTCCTGAAGGACTGCATGCCTGTGGAAGGGACCAATGCTGGAGCAGGGGAAGAGTGTGAGGAGTCCTTCTCATGAGGAGGAAGGAGCAGCAGAGACACCATGTGATGGACTGACCACAACCCCCATTCCGTGTCCCCTTGTGCTGCTCGGGGCGGGGGCAGGAGGTAGAGAAACAGGGAGCAAAGGAAGAAGGGAGGGGCTGGGGGAAGGTGTTTTTAAGATCTGGTTTTGTCTCTCATTGCCCTACTTTGATATTATTGGTAACAAAGTATATTAATTTTTCTTCCCCACGTTGAGTCTGTTGTGGCAGTGACCATAACTGGTGAGTGATCCCCTCCCTCCTTGTCTCGACCCATGAGCTTTTTCTCATATTTTTTCCTTCCCATCCCATGGGCAGGGGGTGAGGAGAGGGCAAGTGGCTACATGGTTCTTAGTTGCTGGCTGGGCCTAAACCACAGTGTCAATATTACTAAATTGGTACTTAGAAGTACATTTTATGGATTGCCATAAAATGTGTCTTGTACTCTGATTTTTTCACATGCTCATTGCTCTGAAAAGATCCAGTTTTCTAAAAATGTTCTGCACAAGCAGGCTGATTACATGTCTGATGGAAAAGCTTACACTTCATCATTTGTATGCTGTGAATGCCAAAAACATTCAGAGTAATTTTGTGGAGAGTGCTTCTAGATTATTTTCTTTGTAATCTAAGTTTGAGAAGTTCATGTTATTTAGACACTGTAATTTGTAATGGACTACTTTACAATACTGTAATGTGGTATGATTGTCCAACACTTCTTTGAACTAAATGCTACGTGGTTTTCTTTTTATGTACTGCTCACAATTTTTAAACATAGAAGATATGCTGTGTGTTTCAGTTTTAAAATGTAATTAGAAGATACACTGTGTTTCGGATGAGAATTTTACCGGATTTGTCTACACTTTGTAATCTATAATATTTTGACTGGGTACATACATAATCATTCTTTTTTGGCAGGCATTTTTGGTTTATGCTGTGTGTTCTGTTGGCAAGATGTGGTTTGTTTCATTGTCTCATCCGGAAGAGAAAACTGATTCTGGAATATTTATGCTGGAAGAGCCAAATAAAGTTGGTTTTTTTTTTGTTTGTTTTTTTTTTTTTTTTTTTTAATCATTTTCAGCTTCCTCATGTGTTTGTGAACTGTCTGGAATACTTTACTTCACGACTTCTTTTAGAAGAAATCCTCATCCAGTTGCAAAGCTGTTCTTCTGAGACAGACCAGACTTCTCATGTGCCTTGCGATACTTTCAATGACTTTGTACGCCTGTTTAAACAAGCTGTTGCCAGGCAAGAGCTTCAAGATCAAACATTATACATTGTAAGTAATTAAATTTTAGTGCTCAGGTTTCATTTCACTTAAGAAGGTGGGGGTAATTATTATCAATAATTTATATGTCAAATGTGTGCGTTATAGAGCAGTTTTCACAAAATTGCCATGTGGACCTAATTCAGAATCTGTTGATACTGGTTAGATTCTTTCAGTTTGGTTACTGGCTTTACATGAGGTTCCTGATTTTTCCCAGTTTTAGAACTTTTTATACAGAAAAACTGCATAGCATAACCAATAATGAACATTAATTATACTGCATAGTTAAATTACATATGTAATAATTACAAAATCTTTATGGAGAGTCTGGGAGTGTTATTATAATGAGTAAGTCATGCTTATCTGTTTTATTATGAAGATAGTTTACAAATGAGGAAGGGAAGGTGGGAAGCAGCGCAGAAGGAAATTACAAAGCATGCAAAGGATGAGAATTGGTTGGCTAGAATAGGCTTAAGTTAGAAGTTTCATTAAGGAACTAAAATGCATAATTTCTTCTGTACAAGTGCTGTTGAGATCTTCAGGTACACTTGTGGCCCTTAGAGACAAGAACTATAGTTTTAAAATTGAGATTAAAAAAAGTACCGCAATGAAAAATTTGATGTTATACTCAAGTGGAATACACAGTCTGCAGAAAAAATAAACAGAATTTAGATCACAGGAATGATTGAATGAATGTCGTACTAGAATGGTAGGGTTTGGGGTGTTTTCTCTGTGATAATCTTAACTACATAAAGGAGTCAAAATTTGCGGCCATCTATAACAGCATTTATCGTGCCAAGAGATGGTCATGGAAACAAATTTCAGGTATATAGGAGGTCTGAAGAAGGGACATATCTCCTCAGAACTATGTTTTTTTTTTTTAGCTCTCACTTGGTTGAATAAAATCTAGTATATTTTCTTAAAAATACAAGAGCCATAGTATTAGTGATGTGTGACTGTATATATGCATTGTGGACCAACAAAACCTGGGGACTGAAATGTCAGCCCAGCAATAGGAATTAAGGGTTTATTGAAAGAGGTGAAATTATTTAAGAAAACATGGAAGTGGTTCAAAACTGGAAGATTTATGACCCTGGGTAATCGCTCTGCGTGTTTCTCCCAGCAACCAAGAGGCATACTGCTTGGGTTTTTTGCAGTCAAACAAGAAGTTCATCATTACACTGAACATTGTTCATTCTGTTTACAGGTTATAGTTAAATAAGTTTTATTTCCATTTAAAATATGTAACTACTGAGTTAAAAAACTTCATATTATGTTTAGTTGAAACAGTGCTATCTCACAGTTTTCCTACAGCTCATGAAGTTAATAAATTTGACAAGCTTCTTAAAAATTGAATGAAAAAAAAACCGCACCACTACTTAGATAAGAAGTTATACATAGATAATTCATTTTAATTTACTGTCACAAAAGTGCTATCGGCATCCTTCAACAATTCCGTAAGAACAAAATTTAGCACTAAAATAACCTTTAGGGAATTTCACAAAATACTTTATATAGTAAAATTTTAGTTTCAGATTAATATTTGAATTAAAAAGCTGTTCTACATCAATAAAGAATGCTTCTTGGGTTATATGAAAATTAGTGTCACTCAAAACTAGAAAGTTCTTGAACAGTGGTTATAGAAAGCAAATCATTAAATACCTAGAAAGATTCAATTGTATCACATAAATAGTTGCTGGATCAGAAGAATTAAGTATTAAATTAATATTTTAGTCCTGTTCTGCATGGGAATAGACAAGAATGGGGGAAAACAATTCGTGTATATTAACCTGTGTCATTTGGATTTATTGCAGAGTGGTTTAAACTGAGACTTTTGGAAGACCAGCATGCTGGAGACATAAACTGGCAATGCTAATTTATTCTATTTCATTTTGGTAGTAAATAATGTAATATTTCAGCCCAATTAACTCAGAGCAAATTAAGATAAATGTTGGCTTTCAAGCAAAGGGTTCTAAATGTTTCTCTTAACTCAAGCATGGGTACTGAATGTTTGTGATTACTTGTGAAAAATGAATTTATTCATTCTAACTACCTGAAAAACTGGAACAGATATAACTTGAAGTCATTCGTACATTTACAATATTTAGCACTTTACAGAAGTAACAAGCTGCTGGTTTTAATATGTCAACAGACACTTCTAAAATGTATAGTTTTTTTAATAAAGCTAAAAAGTGAGAAATCTATATTAAAACTAAATAATAAGGCATGGATTAATAGGCCTGTGTGTAGACTGTTTCTGCGAAGCACTTGACAGTCCACAAGCCAGGCTCACAGTCTATTTTCTCTGTTCTAAGTAGAAACTAGTTCGTTTTGCACTTAACTAAAAAATAAGGTCTACTTAGGTGAAGACCTTCAGGCTTGGTGTTCGGTAGCTACCTGTCACTGGGTCCAATAGCAGTATTTTATTAGTAAAATATGTAGCCTCTTTTTGGTCAGTAACATAAATCAGTCTTCTTCCCTGAAGTTGTTTATTCTATGAACCAAATGCAGATGTCAGTAGAAAATCACATGTTGTATTGTAGTTTTAAATTAATTCCCAAGAAGCATAAGCTATTATTTAAGCAGAGATGCCGTCCTTTCAGGGTTTTTTTTCCTGTACAGTGTGATTTTGAAATACCGTTTTTATGAAATGTTTCTTGCTTGTCCACGTTTTGTTACTGTGGGCAACAGAAATGATAGATGTCTTAATATTTTGGTGTGGGGATGAAATGTAAAAGGATAGAAAGATATAATTTTCTAGGGACCTATAGATTTCTTTCAGCAGCAGTAATTCAAAAGAAGTAATGAATTTCTGAATTTAGATTTATATTGCAAGTAGTAAATAAAGTACAAAAGAAATGTGTTTCTAGTCTCTTTTTTTTTTCATTCCTGTCAAGATTTTAAGTGTGCTGGGAATACAATTTTTTTTTTTTCCAAAGGATAGCCATGCATGTTTTCATGCTCCTATTTTTTTTCTCTAGACTCTGAAATATGTTAGTTGCTTAGATAGTGTTTTCTGTTTAAGCTGTACACATGCTACACATTTGTTAGTGCTACGCCATGTTTGCATATTGTACAATAAATCCTCTGAATTTCTAGGCTGCAAACCATGGCAAGAAAGGTGTCTCTCAAAATTCAGTTGTGTGAATTGCAGGTGATAGCTAACTTTTTGAAAATATCAGATCTTGTTTCTGAAAAATAATTTTATAGTGGGAGAAGATAGCTCTCCTACAATTACCATGCTGATATAGTGCTACAGTATTACACGTAATTTTTAAATAGAGGTCTTTTACACAAAAATTGAGGTTTCAACGGTTGTTAGTGATATCATGGCTTTGTCAGTGATATTCTTGACTGCTATACTTACGTTTTCATTCTTACTGCCACAAGGCAGGAGAATGTTGCTTGCCTGGGGATTGTATCTTTTTTTAGATGGCAGAGCTGCTTGGGATTCCTGGAAGCATACCTGAAGCAATAATCTCTCCCATGCTGCTTGTTTAAGGGGTCTTGATACCTAGCTGATTTCTGCTCTCTAAGAACAATCGGGGAAATGGGTTTCCAGCAGCTAAGAATTAATTTTAAATCCACGTGAGAATGGAGGTTGACATTGTCTACAATAAGCTCATTGTTTTTTTACAAGGTGCTGGATAGAGCAGAGCAGCTGAGGGAAATGGAAGCAAACATCCTGCCAGCGTTTCTTAGGCTTCAAGAATTGGTAAGTGTATGCTGCCTGTTGAAATCGATTGAACACATGGGATCTGTCCATCTAGGCTCACAGATCAAGATAAGTGATTCTTTAGATGAGAAAAATTGCAAAATTTGTCACCCTCCCCACTGGTAATCAACTAGCAATGGTCAAAACTAGAAACAAAACCAGAATTTAAACATTGGCATGCTTTTCTTACTCTCTGTTTTTAAAAATTCTGTTTAGTAGTGTCTGCTTTTACAGTATCTGATCTGTTATAGATTCTTCTGAGGCTGGTGGCAGATACGTAGCTGTCTTTTCTAGAATATGCTTGTTCTTAAGAAGAATGGGAAATTATTCTGCTCTTCATTTAAAGTTTTGTAATAATTGCAGAAAAAAAATCTCAGACTATAATCTATATGGGGAAGTTTCATCATAGCTCCAGTTAGCTTGGTACAAATAAATAAATAAATAAAAGCCCTTTTGGCGTTTGTCAGATGTTTGTGTGAGAATCCAACCATCAGCATCAGAAGAGTGAATTTGCAACTCAGGGTAGATCTGTTTTCCTAAAGTTTCTCCCCTGTGAAACTTCACAACACTGTACGGTGGCTGGCTGGAGGATGGTCCGTAATGTAATGGCAACTGGAGCTGCACTGGAGCTGCACCAGCTCAGCAGCTGCAGATTTGCTTTCTGGTGACAGAGAGTTTTTACACTTCTACTGGAACTATGCCACAGTGTTTCTGATTGGAGTAAACTGCTGTGTCTTTCCCTCTCTCACTTCTGAAATACCAAAGCTCATGGCTTGGAATAAGGAAAATGGTGCATTCTCTGAAAAGAAACTGAAGACAAAACCAGAAGATGGTTTTGTCCATTTGATACTTTGAAACGTCTGAGCATCTAAATGGAAATTATACTTGTTATCTCCAGACTGTTGTGTGGTACTCAATATTCGGCAACATTGATTCCTCTGTTTACTGAATGAAGGCTGATTCACAGCTGTGTTCTTAATTATGGCAGCTGGTGCATTTTCTGGCTCTTTTTGTCTGTTCTGCCCATGTTTTGGATTTTGCTGCCCCTGAAGCAGAAACAACCTGACAGAGAGAAAGAAGAAAAATTTAGGCCTATGTTCAGGGACCAAACAAACATAGGCTAAAACTTAAATACGCTAGAGAAATACCCTCAAACTGAAAAGTAACCTCCAAATAAATTTGTCAGCTTTCCTGAATGCTGAGATTCCAGTTGCTTAAATTCTGGATTCTGGACTGAGGCTTTGTAAAACTTGTGCAGCTGATGTTTTAGAGGAATGTTGTAGGAGCAAATCTTCTGCATCAGTTCCTTTCCCAGAGTGAAAGGAGACAAGAAACTTTGAAAGTTGTGAAAGATTTCATGGGACTTGGCAAAGAATGGGTTATGGGATGCTTGATTTCTGTGAAGATGATGGTGGGAAGTACTTAGGTTTTTCATAATGGAAGGTCTGTCAGGAACTGTACTGGAAATACCTTAGCACTTCTTCCAGCTCAAATACTTGAAATCTGGGAGAGGGACACAATTGAAAGAAGTCTACAGAAAGATGCTCTTTCATTAAAAAAAAAAAAAGTTCCCTAAAAATAGAGAAAGAAAAAACAGTAAAGAATATGGGTGAGCGCCACTTTGGCAAGAAGTGGGAAGATTAAATAAAAGATTCTCCATGAATTTCAGGAAAGGGAAAAGGCATTTAAACTTTTCTTTCAGGTCATTCATAGCTCATACTAAGCATTGTGAATTCAATCAGGTAACTTTCTTTTATTTTCTTGGGGTGCCTTAATAGTTTTGAAATGTCTTTCTTGAAGACCATATTTAAAAGCATCTATTTTATATAGAAATTTTAATATGGTTGCAAAAACCTTGCAAAAAGGAAAAATGAAGCATATGGATGGTCACCCTTCCATATATCAGCTTTTTAATATGAAGCTAGGAAAATGATTTTTCTTTTTTTTAATATGAAGTGTTTTGTTATCTATTGACCAAAACATCAAACTCAGGGCAAGTATATTGTCAATAAAAACTTGGTTTAAAAGAATTTGTTATTATGTACAGCCATTGTGGGTAACTAGTAAGTCAGTTGGCAGAGTACACACTTAATACTATGGGTTTTTTTGGGGTGGTTTTGTTTGTTTTTAAAGCCCAGGTACCTTTAATTAAAATGCTAGATAGCTTGGTTTCAGAAAATGCCAAGTTTTCTTTCGCTTTTTAACTCTTCCTGTTTGTTCTGAAAGTCTGGGTTTAATTACCAAAGTAAAATGCTGTCTGAATTTTGGGAGTAAGAGAAAGAATCTACTTGTTATTGTCACACCACAAATCTCACATGTCAATGAAATGGCAAGGGATGCAGAGAAATGTCATGGAGTTATGAAAATCTGCAGATGTATGAGCTTCTTGATTAGGCCAGCTGAAGCTGTATTACTCTGCTAGTAATTTCTATTAAACTGTTTTTTGTGGAACACAAAATTCATGGTAATAATTTTTCTTACTGACATTTTAACGTACAGGGGTTTTTTTCCCCTTTCTTTACTTATTTGTCACTTTTTTTTTTTCTTCCCTGTATAGATTAACAGAAATGTGACAGTTGTCCTGCTGAGTGAAATAGTATGGGAACTGTTCCGTCCAAATACTGGATGCTTTGAACCATTCACCTTGTATTTTCCTGATTACAGCATAGGTACACTTAATTCTTTAGTCTGCTTTTCGAGGATTGAAAAATATGTCATCAAACAACATCCAAATGTTTTTCCATGCTTATCAGTATGCCTTTTACAGAATCATATGTAATAGCAAGTGGAATGTTAAAAGTCTATATTCACACAACCTCTAAAAGGCTTGTCTTTGTCCACTTGCCAAAATATCTCAAAGTAAGAATTTGATTTCATTATGTTTGCTGGTTCTTTTAATCAGTCTGGTGCTTGGTGGATTTGGGGTTTTTTAGTGCTGATTATAGTTTGATTTTCCACTGAACTTGTAAACTGTGGTCAATTTAAGTTAGCTTTAAATAAGCAAAATTTATTTTTGTTTCGACAGGGCACCTGCAGAAGATCTTGACGCAGAATCATCCTCCAGAATATTCTGCAGATTTCTATGCTGCATATATCAATATTCTGCTTGGTGTCTTCTACATGGTCTGTAGGGACTTGAAAGAACTTCAGCATCTGGTGAGATGAGCTCCTTTAGAGTTGTTTTGTTTTGGGGTGTTTTTTGTCAAATAAGCTCTGAAAGTCTAGATTTATTGTTGAATATGGACAGAGAGAAAAATCATAGAATAGTTAGGGTTGGAGGGGACCTTTAAAGGTCATCTGGTCCAACCTCCCTGCAATAAGCAGAGACATCTTCAACTAGATCAGGTTGCTCAGAGCCCCATTCCTCCTGACCTTGAATGTTTACAGGGATGGGGCATCTACAGCTTCTCTGGGCAACGTTTTCCATTTCTTCACCACCCTCCTCATAAAACATTTCTTCCCTATATCTAGTCTGAATCTACCCTCTTAAGAATGTGTTAGCTCAAAATGCAGTTTCCCTAAAAATCCATAAGAAAGGTTGCAGTTGTTTTGGTGCCTGTAAAGGGTTTCCATTGCTACGTAGTTTTCAGGTCAGAGACAACAAAAGCTGCACTAATGAGATGCCAAGTTGCCAATGGTTCGCTTAGTCTGTAACTTCTGCTGGGGTTCTTGAGCTCTAGCCATTCCTCGATGCCAGAGTAGGTTGCCCCTTGGGATAAGGAGGTAAATGTGATGTAAGTATGCCTAAGGATACTTTTATGCATAAGTGTAGTAGAAACAATTGCTGCAGCTGTGGCAGTTTTTGAGGGACTACTCCATTTCAGACTCAGTTAACGAGGTTTTTATTTTGTTTGCAATTCAGTCAGAGGAAGTAATTGTTATGTTTTAACTCTCTGAAGCAGTGGTTGGCTTCACTGTGCTTCTCTTGTTTTCAGGTTCTTTTTACATGTGGTTATGTGTCTTTGCTCTTATTGCTAACTCCATGCTCGTGTGGACTTCTGTAATCCTTAAATAGCCTTCTGTTGTATTCATTTCCTGGACTATGCAATGGAATGCCAGACAGGCGCTTTCAACATCTGAAGTAATGGTCTCAGCAGGTCCAGTCTCATCTTCTGTTGTTTTCTATGTTTATGAAATGTAACTTGCCACCCAACATTCTTTATACTTCAACTTTATGGGAAATATAACTTAAAATTTGAAACATTTCCCTATATTATTTGGGAGTGTAAAATTTTCCCTTGATTTGCCTCCTACAAAGGCAAATCAAGGAGGATTTTAAGTTAACCAAACTGCTACAAGCCAGATCCATTGCACAGTTTTACAGAAGCATAACTTATTAATTTGACTCAAAAGCCTAGAAAAGCGAGGTTTGACATAAATGTTTTCACTGTCTTTCTTTGGAATTAAGAATAAAAGAGGTAAGTCAAAGTTCCTGCAATATAGCGATGCCTGAGGGAACAAAAATATATTGAAGACATTTGGAAAAAGGAGTTTTAGTCATATATCAGTTGAAGACTACAATAGCAAACAGATTTACAGAAGAAGAATAAAAATTACTTGACCGTGTCCTTTGCATAAGAAGAGCCAAATAGCAATAACAATTATTAGCTCATCAGATTATTTTTTTAAATAACTATACTGTGCACAAGGAAATTTTACAAGTTTAAAGTGATCAGTGGTTATGACCAGAGAACAAATCAATGCTAGTGAGATGATTTGTATGTCCTGCCTGTTTTTACAGCAGGAAATTGTAGCTAAACTGCAGCTGAACTTAACTGTACAGGTTTTGTATTGAAATGAGATTGCTGAAATCTGATGGAGGCACCAATAGGAACTAGGTTCACAGTGGTTCTAGACATGCACTTGAATTACTCTGCTTGTCAGAACAATTTCATTAGCTTTAGATGCTGTTTGTGTGTGTGTGTGAAATACCGACATTATGAAAAATTATTTGCATAATTGGACCCTATATTCTTGCTGTGCTTGACAAGTCTCTTCTGTAGAAGGCAATGACAGACACGTACAACTGTCTGTAGGCTTCTGGACAACTCCATAGTGTCTAATATAGACTCTAAATGAGTATGTTGTTATGCATGATTATTAATAATACATTCTGAAATAATATTAGATTTATATGTTGAAGTTACTGCATTCAGTTCCACTCCACTAGCAGAGATTTAATAAGGTGCAGTAGGACAAAAGGAGAACAAAATGTGAGGACTGTTATTTTCCAAAATTCTATGTGATACCGATTTAAACATTCTAGAAAAGATCTAGATTAAAACCTTGTCAAATATCTCTGAATCTTACCTTAGGCAAAAGGAGTTTGTTTCACTGCGGAATGTGTTAGCAGGGTTTTTTATTTTTTTAATAATTCCTCCTTGTCTGCATATAAGTATGTATGGTCTTTTGAACATGCTGAACTGGTCCTAGAATGGAAAGTTTTAACTGAAAATGAAGGGAGTGAAAATAGTTGATGAAAACATTTTTTAATTGCATTTATAATGTTTAATTACTGTGTTATTTAAAAACAAAATGCAACCCCTGAAACAGATTTTCCTGAGTTCAAAACCAAGTAACCCTTGACAGATTAATTATGTTTGTATTTTAATCTACAGAAATACTGTGATGTTTTTACAGTATAATGTTTGGAAGCAAGTGGCATAATTATTGACTGAAACATAATTCATTGTTTTTGCAAAGTAATGAATTATGCTGCTTATTATATTCTGTAGCTAGATAAACAGATAGTACCTTTTTTAATGTGTCATACTTTTTACTTTCTGTAGGCAGCACTCAATTTTTCTAAATACTGTGAACCAGTGGTCAGAGGAGAAGGTAAGCTTCTGTCTTTAATTTGAGCAGGTGTATGAGAGTGCAGGTGCCCTCCTGTGGGTTTTGTGGAGGACTTTGCTTTGATCCTCGTTATGGGGTGACCATTTCACTGGTCACAACATCATTGCCTATTCCAGTAGCACCCAGGGGGTAGCATTTGTAGCAGCAGCAGCAACAGTAGATGGCATTTGTTGCTGGTGTTTTATGGAAATGAGATCGAAATACTGTAAAAACTTGCTTCCTCTCTGTGAATCTTTCTCCTCACTCAACCACCAGGACTTCTGCAGAGTAATGAGATAAGTCATTTCTCTCTCAGGGCTAAGAGAAGAAAATGAGAGCAGAAGTTCTGCCATACTGTCCCTGAGTATCTCAGTAACCACAGAGAAACAGCCTTGAGTAGTGGCATATGCTTGCAAGTGCCTGATGGTACCTCATCCCAGTACAGCATTTCGGAGTCGAGGCGTTAGACTTCTTATGTCATGCCTGTGACTGTTCACGTGTCAGTGGTTAAGTTTTAGTGTCCTGTGACTTAAATGTTTAACAGAGTTGATTCTGGCTTGTTACAGCAAATGAACGTGACACCCGCAAACTCTGGAAAAATATTGAACCTCATTTGAAGAAAGCAATGCAGACTGTTTATCTCCGGGAAATATCCAGGTAATTTGGGGGGTGAGGGCTTGCTTGTTTTGCTGACGTTGTTTTTAACAAGCTTCCTCTCAAAATATTTACTCTGTCAATTATGTTTCATGGCTAGTGTTTCATTTTTGCTAGATAGAATCTTTTTTCTCTTCAGTGTGCATTTCTTTCTTGCCATATAATGTTAGTAATGAGGCATCTCAGGAGGAAATATTTAAACAAAATTATATTTGTAACACAAAATATTTAATAAATACAGCAGTGCCAGCAGGTTATGTTCTCTTTTTCACTGGTGGTCATACGTTTTGTTTCATATGTGGAAGTGCTGAGCATGGGAATCTATCACCAGAATGTACAGGTGCAGTTGAAAACACACTAGTAATGCTGGCTTGCAGATCCTTACTGTACCAGAGATGCATGCAAGCAAGCCTTAAAATTCTTCTGAGGCATTACAGACTTCGAACATCTGTATTCCTTAGCTTTGTTTACTAGAGCTGTGTTTGTATGTTTAATGTGCTTTCTGACCCCTTGTTTTCATGTCCAAGGGCAAAATTTTCCTTACATGGAATTACCCTTTTTGACAGCATTAAAAGCTGGTGTCCTGCTAATGGGCTGAGTTTTTCTTGGAATGGTTTTAGATTCCATGTTCATTTCTTAATTTGCCAGAGTGCTAGGAAAAAGATGGTGGTGTTAATTTTTTTTTGCTGGTACCAATTGGCTCAGATTCACCATCTTCTCCATCTTTAAGACTGGCGATTGTGATGTTAGGCCAGGTAAAAAGACATAATTCAGTGGTGTTTGTTTTCTTTATCTTGATACAAACATAATAATTTCTTTCCTTTGAATGTCCTTGAGGCCATGGAGTATTCTGGTAACCGATCCTGGGTGTGTATTAGAAATCTTTGATAAATGTTTTGGAAAAGTGATTGTTCCTTCAAAAGGAGTATTGATTGTACGCCGTATGAGCTAGACTTCACTGTGCAATGAGGCGTTATTCTGTTTGCCTCAAGTATGTATTTGTACTCAATATTGATCTTCATTACACAGTCTACTCAGGAGGTTCCTGACTTCTTATATTGTGTAATTGCCTACTCTAATTAGGATGTAATAGAAGATTATGATATAAAATAGCTTATGAATTGTTTCCAAATAACTAGTTTTCCCTCTTTACATGTTTTGATTATAAATTTGAGTGGGTTTTGTATTATAAATTTCTGATTTTTGCATAGCAGTTCTAGGATTCACTTCTGTGTAGCCAGTAAATGCTTGAGAAATTAAAATGACCATATCAGTTTTTCTGGTAACGGAACTGTAATTACTCAGGGCTTTTCTTCAAGATGTAAGTTATAGCAACAGTACTTTGTAGTCCGCTGTTGTACTGCCTGAATTCAGATGAAAATGAAACTTGTTTTTTTCCTACCTGTAAAATAGACATTGGATAAAAACTTTGCTCATTGATAATTTGACTATTCATTATAATTTGAGTATTACATCAGCTCTCATTAAACATTTCATAAGTTCTATGACTTATGGCTGATAAACTCAATTAAAAAAAAATCTTAAAAAGATAATTACTCATGTTTTAACAAACCCTTTTTTTATCCCCTTGAGGTATACAAAATAATGATCTAAAATAATGACATTTCTAACAATGTCATTCCTTAAGGGAATTTTTGAAGTGGAATTTTTTCTATTGTTTAGGAAAACAACAAACTACTTGCAGACATTTTTTCACTGGCAAAATGCTCCATCTTCATAACTTCCATAACTTCAAAGTTTTTCAGTGAAGAATGAATATTGCTCTGCTTTTTATGTAGACTTCAGAATTACATTATGAAGCAATTATAGTATTATTCTCACTAGCATAAACAGTTACTAAGCAGATTTTAAAAAGTCAAAACTATCAGTGTGTTTATTTTTTATCTAATTCTGCATTGTTCTTGAAACTTAGAGCACAAATGATATTTGCTTACTGGTGGTAATTGGATGGAAATAAATTGGTATTTTACAATTAACTTGTACTCACTTTTACTCTAATACCTTCATATAACATTAGTTTACTCTAATACCTTCATATAACATTAGTTTATGCAATTTTTTCAAATACATGTAGTGTGCACATAATTGAAACTTATGTGCAAGGGAGTAAGACTTGGTATTTTTAATTTTTCTCTTACTGGCTGTATCCTAACCAGTGTCATGAAATTAAAACATACATATACGAAGCAGGTAGTTTTCTCTAAAAGACTAGCAAAGACTTTGTCTTTATGTATTTACTTTGTCTGTCTTTTAGCTCTCAGTGGGAACGCTTACAGCATGACGATGGAGGACCTGGGCAGGTGAAAGGTATTGGGTACAGTGACTCTCTGGGGGCTTGTAATGTAAAATGTGACTTTGTCAATGCGATGTAATGATGGGTGAATGAAATTATATAGATTAGGCTACCGGTTAGCATTCAGTTATGGTTCATGCTAATCGTGTTTTTTGAGAAGGTTTTCTACAAGGGCTTGAACTGGTTTTTCCCCTAGCACATATCTCAGGAATAAATTTTCTAAAGGTCCTTTGTGGGTAAAAGCAAGTTTCTTTAAATCAGTGTTTCTTACATAAGAATGGATGAGAAATGGGCTGAACCCAATGATCAATACCCAATGATCAATCAATCAATGAACCCAATACTTCTCTGTATCCAGAGAAGTGTGGCCAGCAGGTCGAGGGAGGTGATTCTGCCCCTGTACTCTGCTCTGGTGAGACCCCACCTGGAGTGCTGCGTCCAACTGTGGAGCCCTCAATACCAGAAGGATATTGACCACTTGGAGCGAGTCCAGAGGAGGGCCACGAGGATGATCAGAGGGCTGGAGCACCTCTGCTATGGGGACAGGCTGAGAGAGTTGGGCTTGTTCAGCCTGGAGAAGAGGAGGCTCCGAGGAGACCTCATTGCAGCTTTCCAGTATCTGAAGGGGGCCTACAAGAGTACTGGGAGAGGACTTTTTACAAGAGCCTGTAGTGATAGGACAAGGGGTAATGGGTATAAATTGAAATCAGGGAGGTTTAGATTAGATATCAGGAAGAAATTCTTCACAGAGAGGGTGGTGAGGCACTGGAACAGGTTGCCCAGAGATGTTGTGGATGCCCCATCCCTGGCTGTCTTCAAGGCCAGGCTGGATGTGGCTTTGAGCAACCTGGTCTAGTGGAAGGTGTCCCTGCCCATGGCAGGGGGGTTGGAACTAGATGATCTTTAAGGTCCCTTCCAACCCAAACCATTCTATGATTCTATGATTCTATCAAACCTTTGTGTGCCATCTGGCAGAATTGTCTGAGTGTGAACGCAGTACCTGGTGCATTACACGGGATTAGCACATTCCTAAACAAAACAGGTGTCCTATGTCCTTATTTCTTGGCAAAGAGCAATGTCAGAATTGCTAGAATTCTTTCTGGGCTTTTCTTGGAGGAATACAACTTTGTTGATTTTTTTGACCTTCAATCCCACCTATAAAGTATAATTTCAATACCATCTGCCAGCATTCTTTTACAATTTAGGAAGAATTACTAAAACATTTTCCTGGTGATGTCAGTCAGTCACAGTCTTTTGACCAGTTCTTAGTCTGCGGACACTTCCCATATTATTCATCCTGACAAATAATTTCTTCTTTAGATAGGAGGTAAAATAGCCACTTCTTAAAACTGTCTTAAGGTAATTGCAATCATCATATTGTTTCCTATATTTGCTTTAAATCAGTGATTTTTTGACAGTGTTGACCAGAGGAGTTTGATTCAAAATGTTCTCCTTAAACTTCCTCCTGTGCCCAGATGACCATGAAATCTTTTTGCAACTGACAACTCCCAAAAGAGAGACCTTAAATAAAGTTCATTTTCTAGGATTTTCAGGTGTATGTGGTAGGAAAAACTGTCTTGTTAGTAAATGGCATTTGATAATAACATGCTTAAAAGGCAACTATAACACATTTTACTGTAGATGTAATTAAGCAAGTACTACAGTGCATGATGCAATATTGGCAGACCAGAAGAATGGAGTAGGAACAGATACTTTGGCATTGAACTGAATTGTCGATAAGTAAGAGTTTATTCGGTGTTGCATTTTGTAATCAACATGCAATACAAAACAGTCAAAACAATCTCTTAATTGTAAAGGAAAGCTAAAACTGCTGTCCTTTTCTATGTCAGAGGAAATTAATACTAGCTATCATCTAGTATGCTTCTTATCACACTGGAGGCTCTGAATCTTAACTTTTAAATATGTTTAATTACTTGAGCTTATATGCTGGTATTTGTAGATTAAAGCATAAGGGTAGAGGTACTTCACAGAACAAGAAACCATTGAAGTGAAAGCCTATGAGAAAAGAAGGCATAAGAGGAGACCCTTCAGTGGCCTGCACAGTTAGACAACTGATGAAGTCAGATGGTTTGATCATCCTACTCATATGCATAAACTGTGTAAAAGGAGCAACTGCGGTGACAATAAAAGTAAAAAATGGGAAGGAAAATACTCAGTGGACTGTACCTCTTGTGTGTTCATAATGTGCGAGACATACATGTAGCAGACTAGGTCTACTGAATCAACATAGAATTTGAAAACATTTTCTGTGGGAAATAAAACTGGCTAAAAATTGTGAGATGCTGAACTGTTCCTCAGGAGTGCAGCACTGCTGCTTTCTCCACCATGCCAGCCCCGTTCCTGGTTGAACTGTCTGGCACACTCTGGAGCAGCCTGAAGGTTGGGTCTTAGAGAAAAAAAGCTTTGCCATTGTATTTAAAAATACCTTTTCATCTGCCCTCTTTGACAGAAAAATTACCTTAAATGAAAGTAACCTGGAATGGTTTTCTTTTTTTTTTTTTTAATGAGGGAGATCACATCTTAGTGTTTTATGAATCTCCAGTACTTCAAATACGGTTTCTGAGATGAGTCCATGAAGAGTTCAGAACGTTAGTTTTGTTTAGCTTCATGCCATTCCTCAGCCCTTCACGGATTTTATGTGTGATAAAGCAGTTGAGAAAGTAGCCATACTTGTTTAGTTACAGGAGCAGTACAGGAGAGAAGGAAAGGCAGAAGAATGCAAACAGGTTAATTTTAAGTTTGTGGATGTTTAGAGTGGGTTTCAGTAACTCATAAACTTTTTGTTTATTTTACAGGACTTTCTGCACATACTCACGTGGAACTTCCTTATTACTCCAAATTTCTTCTAATAGCTGCTTACCTTGCCTCCTACAATCCTGTTAGGACAGATAAGAGGTTCTTTCTTAAGGTAATGAGTTTTTTTTTCTTTAGTGCTGCTCACTGTATTCCTGTGTACTGAATTTCCTAGTTTAAAACTCTTTAACTGTTCATTTTGAGCTCTGTTTCTGTGTGTGGTTCATTTGATTCGCCCAGTTGTTTTTCTGTGGATCACATATTGTGATTGGTAGTGATCACCTAGTCATTGTTAATGTCTAATAAACCCAGATTCCTCGTCTCTATGCAAATGCATGGAGCATGGGGAAGAGGAATTAAGAGACGTGTGTGCACAGAGCTACAATCTTATTGGCATGACAGAGATGTGGTGGGATGGCTCCTGTGACTGGAGCATTGGAATGGAAGGATACAGGCTCTTCAGGAAAGACAGGCAGGGGAGACAAGGAGGGAGTGACACCCTCTATGTCAGTGACCAGCTGGAGTGCATGGAGCTTTGCCTGAGGATGGGTGAGGAGCTGACTGAGAGCTTATGGGTCAGGATTAAAGGGAGGGCAGGGACAGGTGACATTATTGCGGGGGTCTGTACAGGCCACACAACCAGGAAGACCAAACGGATAAGGCCCTCCATGGACAGGTAGGAGCAGCCTCCTGTTCACCAGCTTTGGTCATCATGGGGG